ATTGCTTATTTCTCAAATGTTGCTTTCTTACCGCGCGGAGGGAAAAAAGGTATTATTTATAACAGAAATTGATATTCCGAACGGCATTCTTATATAATAACGGCACAAATGGCTAACGCGATAAATAACCCAAGGTTTCGCAATACCCGATGGCAATATCACGAATTAGCTTCTTGCTGTATAATGCGGCATTGGCGCGGCATATAAAGGCGACGCAGCGCGCCATCGCACGTGGATGCATCCGCGGCGCACTGCAGCTGCCGAGTTTCCATCCAACTGCCGTGGCGTTATATAATAGAGCATGCGGACGTAACGGTTCGCTAATGTTCGGGTCGATCGAAGCTTCCACCGTGAAGCTCGTTGCGAGATCAACGACGACGCAACCGAACGGTGTCCGTCTGGGAAACGTTTACGACTTCCTAGAGGAAGACTCAATTAATCCTTATCTAGACGACCTCTTTCCCTAATTGAAAGGAGAAGAAAAACGATTTCCGTTTGAGATATCCGTTCAATAGAATCGCTCGTCCACGATTTGAGGTTGAGATATTTTGAGTACGCCGAGGATGTCGAAAAATAAAGGAAAACCTATCGGTTTTTTTTTCCTCTTTTAGCATTAAAGTATTGAGCGGTCATTAATGATCGTTTCTATTTTTTATAGATTAATATTATTTTTCTCGTGAAGGATAGGATTCTGAATTTTTTTATTTTTCAATGATTATGTCCTTTTTACTGACAAGACGTTTGATTTTTCATCATTTTTGTAATAGTAATTTATTCGCTTATGCTCATTAATTTTCATCTTGATTCAACTTACACTCTTTATTTTTATTGTTTATTTTTCCTAATTTTTAGAATTAGAAAGAAATTAATGGTCTTTCTACAGTAGCCCATTATCTAAGCTTTAAGTCTTAAGTCGTAAGAATTTGGCTAATCGTAATCGATTATTCTTCTCACGTTCGATTGTGATTGGTCAATTTCTTACGGCTTAAGACTTAAAGTTGGGTTATTTTATAAAGCCCATGAGAGAGAGAAAGAGAGAGAGAGAGAGAGAGAGAGAGAGAGAGAATAAGAGATTTCTATCAAAATATTAAAATTCCCTTTCCTATTGCCTATTCTTTTCATTGCATTTAAGTTGAACCGAGATTAAAGTTAATTTATATTGATGGAAATGAACATTAGCTCTTTAATGCCCGTTGCCATCAATATAGATCTAACTTTAATCTCAGTTCAACTTACTCGTATCTTCATTTTTCTTTAATCTTTAGAAGAGATGAGGAGTAAATTGAACCGAGATTAAAATTAATTTACATTGATGGAAATAGGTATATAGTAAGAACCGTCAATACTTCCAACATTTATAACATGCTGTTATTCTAGATTTCCCATGCGATTCTTCTATCGAAAGCGCTTTAACTTGAAGTTTCGCGAAACCGAGACTTATATCCGCATCTTGCATCGATAATGACGGATTTCGTTAGATCAAAGTACATATGCAAACGTAACACGCGCGCAAGTCGTTTCCTGTTCCTCGTTTATGTTTATTTATGTCTATTTGTACCGTATCGTGTCTACATCTCGGAATTTCATATCCGCGGAAGGACTTCAATGTTTCGCGTTTCTCCCTATTTTTCTCGCTCTCTTCTTTCTCTTTGCAACTCGCTCGAAGGGAACTGTCGCATAATACGTGATTACGAGCCGGCGTGGATTAAATTTTATATCAGAATCTAGCCACGAATAATTTTGTTAAAATCATATAAGAGGGAAAAGTATATAAATTTCTCCCTGTACATAAACTATCTCATTCCAACTTCACTTTAGAATTTTAATTAAAATCATAGAATTAGACACAAGTACACACTAAAAGAAAATTTACTTAATCTTAATACACATTTCTTTGAATAGTACCAAGTAAACATTAACTTACAAGCACATAAATATTTATACTCAACAAAAAGAAGATAATTAAATCACATTAATTACTTTTGTATCAAATAAATATGTGTTTATTAAATTTAGTAAATATTTACTTGGGAATCTCATTCGAACAAATATTTATTACAATTTTGTTTTTTGTTTTTTTTTTTTCCAGTGTACAAGTCAAAGTGAGATGATAAATGGTATAGATACATATATAGGTAGAAATTATATATTTATCTTTCTCTCTTGTAGGATTTTGACAAGATGCTCGCTTGTGGGGTCAGATTCTGATATAATAGGATCTTTAGCGTGGACCTTCCCTCCCCACCGCGTCTTCCACTAACATTTTACAATCGCCACGCGTTATACAATGAGTCGCTTACATCATCGGCGTTGTGAACAAACACAAGGTTGTGTCACCTCGCACCCGCCTCTCTCTCTCTCTCTCTCTCTCTCTCTCTCTCCTCGTGACATCCGTCGCGTATCGCCACACACTGTCCGTTATTCATAATCGCTTCTAAAGCCACGGTCGTTTAATTTAATTGATGATTACACACGAGAGCGTCACGCGCTTTCGCAAGCGTGTCCACGCTGTGCGAACCGCGATTGTGATTTCGGAGGAAGAAGAAATAGAGGGGTCAGCGTTATTTCGGAGAAAGGGGGTCGTAGCCAGACTAAAGCCATCAATTCTTCTCGAAATAGTTGCGAGACAAGGACGCGTATAATAAAAGAAAGCGTTCATTGTTATTCATATTTTTCGATCACTCCGTATACTTGCAAAGTTTCATTCGACTGGAGACGAATTCGCGTGAAAAAAATTTTTCTGCAAAACATGTAAAAAAGATAATCGTTATTCCGTACATTCATTAAGTATTATATATTGCACACTGAAAAAAGTTGAAATATTCAAAAGCAAATGTTACTTGTGATACATTTTCTTCGATATTTATTGCTTGTAAAGAAATCTGATGACAGACTATACATTTCTGTAAATATCTTATTTTTCTTATTAATTGTAAAAAAAAATAAAATAGATGGCTTATTTGTAAGAGTAGTTTTATTTCGTACTTAAATGAGGATTTAAATAAGGATTTTGGAATGAAAAATAAACATATTTTTAAGTCTTTTTTTCTCAGTGCACACTTGACAAGTTGCTGAAAAGTTAGATGACATTTGAATTGACTGTCGAGTTCGCCCAAAAAGCTGATTTCTTTCTTCTTTTACCAAAAACCGCGAGCGAGTTTTGGGCGCATTTTCTCGAGGCATTACAAAAGCGCGTCCGGTGGCCGATCGGGGTGATTTCGTAAAGAATGCACGGTGCTCTTATTAAACTAATGGGACTCGAATGTCGAAACGGTGTCAGGTTTCGACACGAGCCAGAGAGATGAACAGCTGGACGAGTAGAGTTTCAAAAGTGATCGACGATTTCGTTTACTGTATGATAGTTTTCATAACACACGAAGTTTTTTGCTTGGCAAGAGTCGAAAAAAAAACATTATTAATAAATAAATAATGCATATACAAATCTACACACAACCGATTAGATTCTGCTCCCTTTCTTATTTTTTCATTTGTTATATTATATCAAGGGTTAATTATAATCGAAGTTGTGCCAAATGGATAATTATAATATATGTAATATGTATAGCTTCAGTGTCAAATTACTTTAATTTGAAATCTGAACTCGGTTAATTAAAATAATTGGAAAAATTGGAGCGGATGATAATTTTATCAGCTTCAAACCTCGGGATTGTAAAACTAGATAAAGAATCACGGTATCTTAATAATCGCCATTTAAATATGCGAAGTGAATAGTGCTCTCTTACGGATATCCGTTGGAATAATTGGAAGCTCGTTACGATAAAATTCACTTCCACTCGAATCGAAATTGAACACAGAAATTAATACAGCCGGGTATATCGAATTTCCGTCATACTTGTTAAAAGAAAGAAGCATATCCTTTTTAACTTCTACAATCCGCTTTTAACTCATATACAAATACATTGAAACCCATTCTAGGAATAAAGACTTATTAATCAGGAATATTAACCTTTAAGTAAGTGATCACAGTATCTCACGCAATAATCATCGTAAAAACCTTATTCTGAAAAAGGAAAATAAAAAGCAGCCTTGTCCAGAAAGTCTTAAAGTTCATTATTTTTACATTTAATTTTATACACACTAAGTAACTGTATTATCAAAAAATGTAACTATAAAAATAAAATTTTGTGGGATGTTCTGAGCATCTTACCTACTTAAAAGTTAAATACATTAACAATCTGATTGGAAATGGAACTCAAATATTCAAACGTTAAATACGAAGCGCCTTACAGTTCCGAGTGTTAAGATGATTGAACTAACATACATTTAAATTAAATTAAATTATTTTTTCAGAAATAAAAATTGAGAGCCGATAAATTGTCGGATTCACACAATCATTCTGATAATCCCCCCCCAAATTTTCCCAAATCTTAAAAATTGTAATAAACTTATTGCGAAAAATATTTATCGGCTCTCAATTTATTTCTGAAAACATAATTTAATTTAATTTAAATGAATGTTAGTTCAACATCTTAACCCTCGGAACTGTAAGGCGCTTCGTATTTAACGTTTAAACGCATTAAATAAAATGCAGATGTGAAAAATACTGTATCAGTTAATCAATTATGACTAGTAATTGCAATCAGGAATGAAACACATCTATCTAGTAATACAGATTTGACAAATCTTGACGCAGATTGCGGAGTTTCACTTCCGGCGTATTTTAACAATATTTTTAACGGCAGTACTCATTGCAATTGCCTTCGTTGCTGACTCCGTTGCATTTCCGGATTGCAGGCGTTGACCGTGGGCGACAAAGGTTGCGAGGCGTTACTGCAGGCCCACCTTCGTCTGGAGGGCACCGGCGCGGCGAGCGGCGTGGCCGGTGTAGTGGAGGCCGGTGTACCTGGAGGCCGGCGTTATCTCCTCTTGGAGGGCCATCACGGTGACCTGCACGCCTACGTAAGGGCACGCAGGAGATTGCGCGAGCCTGAAGCAAGGCGGCTCTTCCGGCAGGCGGCCAGGGCCGTGGCCACGTGTCACGAATACGGGGTCGTGTTGAGGGACCTCAAGCTCCGGAAGTTCGTTTTCGCCGATGAAGCGAGGTGAGAATCCGTCTAGTTCAGTATTTAGCTTCTTTAAAGTAAATTCGCGATTGAAGAAAAAAAAAAAAACTTCACCTTAACTCACTCAATGATCAGCTTGTGAAAGTAGGACTTGAAATATTTTATTAACATAGAATTATTAATTTTACGCCCCCCCTTACGTAGACTAGATTTAAATTGAACTATTTTATTTTTCTATTTTAAAACCAAATAATTATATAATTATACAATTATATAATTTGTAACGCTGTAAAAAAATGTTGAAGCGTTATGAAGGAGGAATATAAACGTTTCTTTTTTTTTTCTTTTTTTTTTCAAATTATCAAGTATTCTTATCCTAGTTGGATGGATGTCTATTATACTTATATATGTAATAACGAAGTAAATTTCAAACTGATGTTCGATAAAAAAGAAATAATAGAAGCCATATTAGAAGCCGTATATTGAAAGTTGATAAGTGACATACATCCGGATTGAAGCGAAGGTGTATCGATAGCGCAGAGTTCGCCTTCGCTTTTCCGAGTGAAGGGGAAATCGATTGCTCCGAGTGTGCTTTTCTCGTGCGAATAACCTCTCCGTTCTCGGCGCTGGAAAGAAATACTTGGGATATATGAAAATGAAATAAATACGAAATTTATCGCGTATCGCGGGCGTGACATTGTGTTTTCGTTCGAAGAAGGAAGAAAGCGTTGTTAAAGTACACATAGAAGAGCACACATTATTCTATGTCTATGATATATCGAAATGGAAGAGAAAGTGAAGTGTGTTGATTGATTGATATCAATCACTTTCTAATTAAGTTAAACGTATTACAAAATCATACAAACATCACGTCTAATTTATGATCCTCGAAGCCAGTGATTTCTTAAGCTTGACGGAGGCAAGCGATACGAAACGATCCTGTCTGTGACAAAAAGAAATGCGAGACCAAGTACAAATTACATGAAATTAAGTAACTTCTCCGACTCAAACCAAATTTAAGTTCGCGTAAAGTCAAGTTCGAAACCATGCATAAACCTAATGCATAATGAAAAAGCACATGCAATAGAAGGAGGGAATAACAAACGACCTATCAGAAATCGCATATACCAGAATACACGGCTAGGTTGAAATCTGTTATTCCCTGTTCCTATTACCTATACTTTTCAACTGTGTCTCAGGCAAAGATTCATTGCCAAACAGGTGCATCGGAAAGCATCGCTAATGCATCGTAATGAACGAATCATTGCAAATCCTTACGAGTTACTAACAGTGCGATCGCTCTCATTATATTCCTGTAGGACTTCACGTCGAGTCGTGATTTAGGGTGTGTTTGCGAGGCTCGGTTGGTGCGGCGTTATCTGTTCGCGATACAACGTACGACGCACCCACGTGCCGCTGCGGAAGGCAGGCAGACAGGCAGGTCAGGCTGCCTATGTACAATACATACAGGCAACAGTCAAGCGAGTCAAAGCCGTGCCGTGCCGTGCCGAGCCAACGGGCGTGTGTTGTGTGTCGTGTACAGTGTGTATGCCGGGCAATCGAGAGATCGACTCGTATGTCGGGGTCCGTTGTTGGCCAATCGCATTCCTACAGCGCGGCGAGCTGCTGCTCCCGCGCGCGCGTACGTAAGAATAAGGAGAGTCCGGGGAATGTTGCAAGCCAGAAAAGCATATTGGTTCATCGGCTGCTGCGGCGGAGTTTTGAAACGTCGGTATAATTAGGAAACGCGTGGCTCGGCTCGTTTCACCGGCGCGGCACGGCGCGACACGGCCGACATCCGAGACGGAGCGTGATGTACTTTCCTCCCTTTCTCTGAAAGGGAAGAGTTGCCGCGAGCCTTCCTCGCGAGTAATCCCTCTTAGTTTCGCGCAATCCCCTTAGAATACAATAATGCGCAAAATTCGGTATCTGTAATGAAATAGTCCATAATAAGAATTATTATCGAATGGGAACCCGAAAACTTTAATCGGCGTGCGCTCAATTCTATAAGCTTGGCCAATGTAATAAATTAATGGCGACTTTTAACGATGTAGATTAACTTTAATTCTTAGTTTAACTTCATCTTTTTCTAATTCTAAAAATTAGAAAAGAATAAAGAGCAAGTTAAACCAAGATTAAATGGACATGGTACCGTCGTTTCTACCAATGTATAGTATGTCGTTTAATTTTAATCTCGGTTCAACTTCATCTTTTTCTAGTTCGACGAAAGTTAGTTGAACCGAGATTGAAGTTAATCTACATTGATAGAAACGAGAATAATACCTGTCAATTCCAATGTATAGATTAGCTTTAATCTCAGTTCGACTTTTAATCTTTTTTTTTATTACAGTTCTAAAAATTAGAAAAAGATGAACAGCAAGTTGAACAGAGATTAATCTGCATTGAAGAAAACAGGCATAAATCTTTCTTAAGTCTCACACTGAAAAGAAATATAAATATTAAATTTTAATAAATATATTTGCTTGAGTAGTACTAATTAAATATTTACTAAATATAAACGTATATCTGTACTTGGTACAAGAACTATTAATTTGATTTAAGTGTCATTTTTTTTATCGAGCAAATATTTATTTACTTTATTTAAACTTTAATCGGCATGCGCTATATTCTATCTAAACATTTACTAAATGTTTAGATATCAATAAATATTTGCTCAATAAAAGAATGATAATACTGTAAATATTTAGTTAGTAGTATTTAAATGAATTATTTATTAAAATTTACTATATTTGGTCAGTATAGGATTTTAAAAGAAATCACTCTCGCAATTACTGGTTTCGAACTGCGAACGGCTTCTTCCTTTTCGAAAGTTCGCCAAGATCTCTGCGCACGGAGATCTTCCGTCTCGCTCGTGGATCTCTCTCTCTCGCGTGGGTTTCTCTTTACCTCATCGGCTGACAATAGGCGGATCAAGACGATCAAATCAGTCTTTTCCCGGATGCGCCTTCGCGTATGGAGTTCGACCTATGATAATTTGCTAAATACGTCACGCGCGTGTTTCAATAAAAAACATGCGCCGTCATTATTGTCGTTATCGTCACCATCGTTGTCGTCGACGACGGCGTTGGACGTAGCGTTAGCTCTTGACGAAAAACACAATGCGATCACGAGGCCGAATTTCTCTCTACGCACTACGTTTCGCAACTACACTGAGCATTAAGCTGGCCTAGTCCGACGCCGAATTCAATCGACTAGACAGTCATTCGTGAGGTTAATGATCCCGATGAGTAAAATCGTCAGTCTCGTTTAATTCTTGCGCCCGAGACACTCTCTATTCTTGAAAGTGTAAATCTAGGACGTTGACCTGAGGGCCTGCATTCGGGTATTTCGCACGGATATCCGTGTAATTTATTTAAATATTTACATGAAACATTAACTCTTAAACGCCTTTTCGGTATGACATATCTGATTTTCTTTTTTCAGTGCTTTTTCTATTGCTTATATAACTTTTTTATTAGTAAATATCAAGACTGCATATATTTGCTTAATGTTACGTTCCTTGGGTTTCTTATTTTCTGATTAATTTATGTTTTGAAATTAACTTTACTTAACTTAATGATAATGTAAAAACTGTGTTTTTCTGACTATGATCAATTATTAAACTGATGGTTTTATACTGGTAACTTTATATAAAACCGTTAATTTAGTGACAGTAACTGTATAATTAAAGAATATATATATATATATGTACAATATATATGTATATATACACAATTTTATATTATCATCAGATTAAATATACAAGTTAATAAGAAAATGAAAAACTGGACCTTAACATCTGGCGTTTTGACTGAAGAAAAATGTTTTACAATATGTTTATTTTTATGAAAGTCACAAGCAATCGAATTGGATAAGTATGTCATAGTATTATTCTCGTAGTGTGACGTTTAAGGATTAAAATAATATTATTTTACAATTATGTGTGGATTATAATCACTACATATGAATATATAATATTTCAAATTTTCAACTCGACATCTTAACGTATTTATAGGATGGCTATTTTAGAATAAAATATTCGAAAAAAAAAAATAAAAAAAGAAAATAATTTCTACATCCGCGAGATGGATCATGTGATTCGTTCGAGTATCCACGTAAGCCTCGCATCTATACAGCCGATGATTAGTTCCGGATTTTCCTTGTACAGTGTGAAGATTAATATAATCGTGAGATGAAAATTATCTCGAGAAGATTCACCTTGTCATTAGAGACATTAATTTGCCGAGTGCCCGCGAGCGCAGTTAATTGATTAATGACGCTTGATTAATGATTCAGCATGTGGCGCATCAGCGGGTCCTTCCTTAGACTTCTCAATTGTAACGTAACGAAGAAACGAGACGTTGTGCTCGCGTTTGGTGTCAAACGGAGATCGTTGCCTCGAAAGACCGATGCCTTCGAATATCAACGTTTTCTCGACGTTCATAAAATTTCACGAGCTGTCCAAGAAATCATCATCGCGCCTAGTATCCGCCGAGGGGTTCTTGAACCCGGAGCGATATCGTGCTGCGACCGAGTGAAAGTTTGCGAAGAAAGCTGTGCGATACCCTCCCCCCTCCCCCTCCCTCCCCTCTCTCTCTCTCTCTCTCTCTCACTATCTATGTCTGTCTCTCTTCGTGGCGGCCGCGTTTGGTTCATCACGAATGGCCTAGCGTGCCATCGCGTTCGTTCGATTCATTTGCTCGTGAGAGAGACGAGGCCATTGACACTCGTTCGGATTGTCAAGATCGTATAACGATTCTCTCGCGTGACGCGTGCGTTCACCGAAGGCGCATTTCCGTCTCATTAGTCTCTTCGAAAAAATGCGCGCTGGCTGAACTAGATTTTCCTTGCTGCGTTTGGTCTCGTTGAAAAATGATTCCTTTCAAATAAACACATTGTATTCTGCGAATACGATGGATTACATTGTGTAACTTGATCAGGGTTGTCATAAAACTGAAGCTCAGAGAAATGTCAGGGAAATGTCGCAAGATTTTGTGGAAAGTTGAAATTCTTGTCTTTGAAGAAGATTAATATGTGCATCTACGCAGTTTTGAAATACTACTAATTTAATAATTAAATGCAAGCGGTGTCAGTAACATCAGTAGCAATTTACATCGCTACGTTAAATTGCTCTCTCAACAAAATATTTGATAAAAAAAAGTACAGAAAAATTTCAACATATCATTGGAAGTATTAGAGAAAATCATGAAATTTTGTCTGGAAATCAGAGAAATGGAATTCTTCGATGTAGAATTTGTGTGTGACTCCTTTGATATTATTATTAATTATTATATCAGTGAAAACGTCTCTCTTGTTTCCCTTCATTTATGGTGATAAATGCACAAAGCCGTATTCACAAAATAACGTTACTGTATTAATAATAAATTGCGATGGAATGCGAAAGCTTTTACCAACGAAAACTCCATTTTCCAAATAAATGCAATTCCGATTTACTAAACGGGATTTATCTCTTTTTACTTTCCCTCTTTCGATTCGTATTATTTTATTAAACCCGCTGAAATACAACGAGTTTTAAAATAAATTATATACCTTCAACCAGCAGTCGTAATATCCCGTAAAGCTAATATACTTCTACTGGAAATGACTCAAAGAAATGACAAGTACAGGAATGTATTTCTGTAGGAGGATACGATGTAGAATACGTGGCGCTTTCCCGAGCGCTGTCCCTTCTCCCGAGTGAATATTGTGGGCGAGAATACGAGAACTCGTGTCGAAGGAGAGCTCAGAAGTTACCCAAGAGCCAAGAATATTACGTACACGCGCGACTTCCGCGTTGCAGGTTGATCAACGCAGCGACCGGCCAGGGCAGCGCAGCGCTCTCCTCTCTTTCTCTCACTCTCTCTTCCTCCTGTGTTTGTCGTCGCGTCTTATTTCACGCTGCCGACGACGACGACGACGACGACGACGACGACGACGACGATGACGACGGCTGAGAACGATGGCTCAATCGCGATGTCCTCTTGCTAAATTGAAATACCTTGCCTTCGGGCGCGCACTTAAAGTACACGCGCGAGGCGAACCCGAGGATCTCTCTCTCTCTCTCTCTCGAACGCGCGCATTAAAAGATTGCATGATCCTCAGCTTCTAGTTCGTAAACTTGCGCAGCGAGTAGATCATAACTGGTCGATAATAAATGCAGGGCTTGGCGTAACGCGTGTCTCAGACACGCAGAATGAATTTCACACGACGATAGGAAAATAGATCGTAAATCTTATGCAACGTTTAGTATTCTACTCACAATTCCTTTGAGAGAAAGACGTAGCAGGGTCTTTAATCTTATCGATATCTGGGTGAGTCTGTTCATCTGGTATACGCTTACTAACTATTGAATAATATGTTTTACGTCTAAAGAGCTAAATAAATTAAGACTAAAGGGATGGAAAGAATGGTTTTGCTAAAGTATCAAAAAGTTTAGTTTAATACAGATCTGAAAATGTTGAATCATCAAAATATTTATGTAGGACGTTTGGACGTTGATGACAATTCTGCAAAAGGGTGTAACATTCTATTCTTAAAAGAAAAAAAAAGTTAAATTAATTTAACTTAGTAGTTAGTGTGTTTAATTTACTGGTTAGTGTTTATTTCTTTCGATGAAGAATGTGTGTTTAATTTAAGGTAAACGTATTATATTTGACTTAAATGCATACATTCTCCAATGAGAAAAATCAAGATAATGAAATTAATTCAGTCAAATAAACAATTAATTTAATCAAATGAATAATATTCTTTTTCCTCAGTGTAACAACCAGTTTGAGCGTCCTACATAACTATTTTGAGGGTTCAAATTAAATTATTTCCAGATCTATACTTATTGTTAGCCAAATCTAAATCTACATCTATATATGTATATTTATATCTTGCTAAATCTATATCTGTATCTATCTATCTATATCTAAATTTTTAAATACTTCAGCAAAATTGTTTTTTTCCGTGTTAGGATATGCAATTCGATTATCTCTAAGACAATGGCAAACCGCGAGAAATTGATTACCGCAATTTCGACGAATATTTTCGAATGTTACCGGACGTTTCTTTTTTCCAGAACGCGACTTCGTCTGGAGAGTCTCGAGGACGCGGTGATCGTGGAGAACGACGACGATAAGCTGACCGACCGGCGCGGCTGTCCAGCATATGTCGCGCCGGAAGTGCTGCGCTCCGGACGCGCCTATTCCGGCAAGGCGGCGGATATCTGGTCGCTGGGCGTGTTACTGTACACGATGCTGGTGGGCCGTTATCCGTTCAACGACGCCGAGCACGCGTCCCTTTTCGCCAAGATCTCGCGCGGCCTGTTCGCCGTGCCGGAGGGCCTGAGTCCACGCGCCAAGTGCCTGATTCGCTCGCTGCTGCGAAAGGAGCCATCCGAGCGGCCGTACGCCGAGGACGTGTCGCTGCATCCGTGGCTGTCGAAGCCGTTGCGATTACACACGCCTACGTCCAGCAGCAGGTCCTCGTGTCAGGATCAAATCGTACCAGAACTATCTATTGATCCTCAACAAGACTGACTCTCTCTCTTTCGGGGGAAGAATCATTATTCCGCGCGTGACGGCATCACTCTGTCTCATCCTAGTGCTTCTCTCGCGCCGACAGCCGGATGGAGTCCTCCGGCCGAGAGGAGGGAGTTAGCGCAATCAAAAGAAGAAAAAAGGCGAGATGATTTTCTTTTAACACATTGGCTGTGCCCGTAGAGCAGTAGCAGATGAGCGGATCGGCGAAAAGCGAAACTGTCTTATCTCTCAAAGAGCTCGATAAAAAAGTACACGCGAAGGTTCGAATGAAATTAACTATTATTAAAGGAGCAATATTCAATAAAAAATTCTAACTTTAAAAGATTCGTAAATTGAGAAAAGAAAAAAAAATATATATATATATATATGTGTCAACCAATCTGTTAACGGCAGCTGATTTTACACGCTTCGTTCACAGAAGTTTCAGCCGCACAGTCTCCAACTTGGATCAAAGAATCGCATTGATCCTTGTACCTCGTGGAGGCACATGCGGCTAAATACTAAGAATCCTCTTTTCGCCGGTCGAGGGACGGCCTAGAATAAGCTTCGAAAATAGAGCGTACCTAACGTGAGAAGAGTAATCATTCTCAATGGAATTTTTACATAGAGGAGAGTAACCAAAGTCTCTATCCTGAATACAATGCCCTGGATTATTTTTCTCGTTTAAAGCTATAGCCTGCGAGTTGAAAGGTCGAAACGATGTCGAAACCTTGAATAAGATGATATTATGTCTCTCCATTATATAAAGATAAGCTCACTCTAGTCCAGAGACAACTCGCGGTTGAAGCGCCGAACAGAGAAAGTAATTGAGGGGATCCTCTGTAAAATAGCGTCTCGATTTTGGTCATTCTCCGCTGGCAATTTCGGAGGCAACGTGACGCAAGTGATTAGTCTCTAAAAAAAAGTCTATCGGCTATATAGAATCTTAGATTCGAGAAACATTGCCATTACCGGTCCAAGAAATATTTTGCCTTGTTGCGTACAGACATATTCGCGCGCGCGCACGCGCGAATTCCTTGTGATAGAATCTGACAGATTCTGAGCGATATATGTGATACGAAATATACAGGTTCTTTCATAAGCGTTATGCGGTTACTTGCGATCATCTGTCTCTGAAGTCCATGTACATTAATTAATGTAAACGATCGAATTTGATGTTTGTATTGTGCGTTAGACATACCCGAGTACATCCTCGACTTTCTCGTATTTCGCGTTACGTATTTACCCGGATAATTTTTCACGCTATATCGGCGAGTCTGTTATACACACAAATAAAGTTATGTAAATATAAGCGAGGGACGTGGAACTTATCGTAAGTTCAAGTACAACCGGTGAGCTTTGTATAGTATAGTGTATAGTATAAAGTGATGAATATATATATGAATGGGATCAGAGATTGAGTCGGATGCAAAGTTAAAAGTTCACGCAGTCAAAAGAGAAAATACAATGATTCAGCGCGAAAAAATAAATCGCCTCATAACGACCAAACATTTATTTAGAATAGGTCGAATGAATTTTAACAAAGGAATTTCTAATTTTAAATCCGACTCATTCTTCCTGCATGCCCGTTTACCTGTCATCATTATATCACGGAATCAATCAAATATATACTAGGCAAACATTGAAGGAAGGAAAATTTCTCGTTTGAGCGCGATAAAATTTCATTCTCCGACCTGAAAACATTGCCTAAAAAGTTCAAGACTGCTTGGACGTGTGGCCTATACAATTAACTTTATTAGAGAAAACGCAAAATACGTTGCACCGTGAATTTCTAACTTAAGAACAATAAAAGAATACGCTTCTGGATTACTCGCACGACAGAGTATCCATGAATATATAAATGTGTTCATCAATGGCAATGTTTTCAGGTAGAAGTAACTCTCTAATGAATCAAAGATTTACTCTCTTCTGATACAGACCTCTAAAGTCATCGCTTGCGCGACGTATATATGTACGGCTCACTAGGTTCCGATTTTAAAAGCAAACGAAGCGAACGATCGATATTTTTTAAGTTTGGGCACATGAGGCTGCGCGTCCCATTTTGAGGACTTTTCTCTTGAATAAGACTCTTCGATCGCGATATAAAACTACGAATAATTCTCGACTACTTTCAGTAGACACTTTTGTCATCGCAAGTCAATTATGAGAATAAAATTCCAAAGCAGACATTGACATTCTTATTTGCATCAATGCCAGGTAGCATGATATTTCTATAAGTTATTTTCCTCTTCGTATTATTATGGTGGGTTTAATCATATTGTAATTACTTTAATATCGATGTTAAATAAAGGAACACCGATGCTGCAGTCGTCGGTAGACGTGCCCAAAATAGTACTCCTGAAATGTTTTCCGGAGTCAAGACTAGGTTTAAAGCTAAGCAATCGAGATTTAAACCGCCATCTCATATAGACGAGACTAATTCGAAATAGAATTTTTTGATCCTTTTTAAACGATAAAATAGTTGCGAGGGGAAACCAAGTTGTCAATGTTGTAAATGTTGTCAAATAATTTCAGAATCGAAATTCGATTCCGATGAACCAAAATTCATTAGTTTAGATATATATATATTCCAGAAAATTGCTTGTTTAATTTGGGTGGAAATTTCTATGGGTGCTTTTCAATTGTAAAATCACTAGACACTTCCACGCATACGGCACAAGTTATGTCGTAATCGTCGACACAACAGCTCAAGTATTATCGGCTATATAAGCTTGTGTTTTCTCGTGACAATTAATATGGGATGCGTTCCAAAACTCTGTCAATTCGAATATCATTTTATTCTTGTTATTCACCGAATATTGAACAAGGATAAAAGATATTTGGAGTTGACAGAGTTAAGTTTTTGGAATGCACCTCAGGTTACTAATCGCGGTGACTATAAATAAGGTTGAAGAAAGTACCTCTGCTCTCCAAGGAGGTTTTTGCTGGATTATAAGATCAAATTAACGCATGGTACTGTGATCCAAATAAAGCGTCGGAAATCCTTCAGTCGGAAATCATATAGGGGACTGTTAGAAGAAGAAGAAGAGATTGGAGGACGTTGGGTGGCCGGCATTTTTGCTTTTCTTCATTCAATACAGATGGAAAAAGCTACATTTAATCCAACTATCCGAAACCATGCACAGCGTACACACGTTCTGTTCTAATTGAGAAATGAAATCTTACACAATGCTACATTTTGTTTATTTCTGTTTACGTTAATCAATTGGAAAACACCCTATGATAAACGACTACGGAATGTCGCTTGTTTCGCGAAACATCGGGATTTCGGGGAACATTGTACTAGACATGAGAATCGGGATTGTTGAAGTACAGTTCAGCCTTATGTGAAACTCGAATCGAATCCGCGTCGGACAACGAGGAACATCTCGTAGCTTGTCGAAAACTTTGGGATCGAAATTGAAGAAAGAAAAGCTCCAGATACGACGGGTTTGTCGATTGAGACTGCGACTCGATCCTTACCTCGTTCCCTCACGTTCGACGAAAGTACCATGTGTTCTTGTATTTAAAGATACCCGTCTACCTATCTATCTACACGAACTTTTTTGTAACTTCCGCGAGAGTGAAGAGAGACAGAGAGAGAGAGAGAGAGAGAGAGACTCTTCTTTTACTTTTTATTTTATAATATTCGCGCACCGCAACGGGGCACGGTAACCCAGATGCGGTATTATTCCTCGTATCATTCTCAATCAGGGTACAAAACGCCGCGCGCATCCATCGACGTTGAATTTGTACGTAAGTTCGACGCGATTAAATCCTATTGTATTCAATCATTGTCTAGGTGCGTTTAAGGGACTTTTGTTTCTGTACATAGATAAAATAAAGTGGCGTTTACGAAGAGCCATCTTTTTCTTTAACTTGCATCTTTCTCAGATTGACGCTTTCATTTCTATAATAAGGCACATTATGTCTTGGCAAGTTTAAGGATGTATTACACATATTTTAAAATAATTAAAAAATTATAGAAAAATTACGGATTATTCTAAATCGTATTTAAAAGTAATACAAAAAAATTTAGCAAACGTTTATCATCTGAATTAAAAGCTACTTAAAAATAAGAGATATTTTCTTTATTTGTTCTAATATTATAGAAATGTATTGTAAAATAATGACATAAATCTCAATTTTTTTGAGTATTTTAAATATTCAAAACGTATTATGTAAAGTTAAATTGCGATTATGTATAGATTATAATTTGTTCTGTAAATAAATAAAATATTAATTTTTTTCTAGATTTTTGTAAGAATTATAACAAAACTTAAAAGTAAATGCATAAATCATTTTGAATACTTTAGATATTTATACAAAAAGATTGAAATTTTTGTCGTTTTATTTTTTTATTTTTATACCAATAAAAATAATACAAATGAAGAACAATGAAACGTGTTATTTAATAAAAGTAGAATATTAGAAACACAATTTTCCCATGTATAATTTATTGTAAAAATGAGTGCAATACATTCTTAAAAAAAAAATATGATAAAATGTTGAAATAAATGTTGAATTATTAAGACCAAACAAAGCTCGTTCCAAATTAAATTAAAAGAGGATTGCCGAAATTTTAATTTAAAAATACGGTGATAAACGTTATTGTGAAATTTAAAAATTAAATATGTATATATAATGAAATCAGGTGACTAGAGGTCAGATTTTTTTCTAATTTAAAAATAACAATTGCGAGACACGAGACGTAGTAATTTCAATTTTTTTACCAGATTGTGTAAGTTATGCGAATTATTTACATAATTTTTTGTCGATCTGACGTCACAACGTCGTTGTACGTAAAAGCAACGCTTTGCTTTGACGCAAAAGAAAATCAGTAGCGACTAAAGCACTTATAGGTCCTCGCCCGCAATCGGTTTTTAGATCTTCTGAAAATAAAGATAATATTTAGTCTCAATTTTAATTAATATTATATAATAAATTAAGTTTCAATTAATAAATATAATTTATTTTATTACAATTCATTAATTTTTTATTAATAATAAATATTTTATTATAAAAAAGGTGAACTCTAAAGTGATAGACGTACAACATTTTGTAACGTGTATCTTTATTGGAAACTCAATAACGTTGGCGCAGAGTAATAAACAAACGGAATAGGACAAAAACGATATAGGTATTTAAACTTCGAGTCGTCATGGCAGATTGAGGGAAGGCTGGGAAGGTAGTTGCGGTTGCGTAGCTGTTGACAGCATAAATTTGAAAGCGACTTGTCTTTGAAACGCACTGCCGTGACGAGGACGTCGCTGCGGTGCAACATGCGAGTGAAACATGGCCGCGAATGTGAGAACAGGTGAGTGATAACATAACGGCCCGTCGATGCCGCCGCGAGTTGTAGTTTTCCGGTACACGAATCGAGACCGAGACGGGTGAGTCACAGTCAGTGTCCTTGTCCCGGAAACCAGGACGCGACGTCGCGATCCATCCCGTCTTCCGTTCGTCCGCGCTATTTCTCGCAATAAATGCCCGGTCGTTCCTCATCGCGGCGGCGCGGTGAACTCTGACTTTTCTCGGCCTGCCGACTCCCCCACGATCTCTACCCATTCGCCCCGCAATCATCGACGGATGCGAGAATCGAGATAAAGCACGCTGTGACTGGCTTGCGTTCTTACTTATCGCTGCGAACGCTGTGATACTCCGCGCCGAGTAGGCGTATATCGCGCATAATCGTGCGTCGTAATCGCGAAGCGCGACGCACGTCTGTCCATTCCTCCGTCTGTCACGCATTTTGTTTTGGAAAACTTTTTTTGTAACCGTTCCCTCTACGCTCATTCGCGCGCGTGTGCGAGGAACTTGCTTTGTAACTGTGTTGGTGCGGTGCGAAACGCGTGCGTACCAGCGTGTGCGAGGAACCGATCGTGCGTCAGAGCCAAGCTGCTTACCGCCCAGTCTGATTATTCTCGCCTGTCGTTACTTTCAGAAGACATGCCGATACCGACGCGCGCGGCGCCTCGTCCCCCGGGTCCGAGCACGACGCAGAGAGATCCGATCTGGAGCACCAGGTAGAGCGTCTGGTTTTGCGAGGTCGATCTGCTTCTTGTGACTGTGCACTGTGTGTGATAGGGACCTTACATGGGTCCATAATGGATACTTTCCATTTGATGATATAAGTGATACAAGCATCATTCTATCTTCCTTGACATTCAGTGATTAACAAAGATAGAACGACCCTTATGTCAACTTGTATCATCATTGTCATCAAATGGAAAGCATTTAATACAGCACCAAAACATTGATAATAGATCTGTTTTCTGTGGTTGATTTACATTTTTGGGAACTTAAAGCGAAATAACTATATATTTGATGTTTGACGAAAGCGAGAAAGAGAATTGTAGTAGTTTAGTGCAAGAACAGGCCTGATATTATTGATCATGCGTTAATACTTTTCACGTTTCCACTGGTACTTTCTAAACAGAAGCTATGTATTTCATGGATTATCTCTGCGTTTTGATACATTGTTAAATATCACTTCGGAATGAAAAACCAGTCAGTATCAGGTTGCTCCTCGCCTTAGAGTAAATTGCAATGTTCATGAAACATTAGCATTCTAATAATAGATCTGAACAGTAAACATAGTAACCCGAAACACATATGGTGCTTTCCAGCAAGAGACACAGTGGCTGCGTTCAGCAAAGAAAGCAGCTTTGCAATTGTAAGATTTTTTAATATGATTGATTTATACATTTAGAGTCATCAGTGAAGAATTCTAAAGGCAAGATCAATCATATTAAAGATTTGTACAACAGTTTTAAAACAGATTTGTAAAACTGTTTTTTTCTGCTAAACACAGCCAGTGTAACACAGTGATAATTTCATCTTTGTTTAACATTGAGAAACAACAAGAACGTAATAATTCACTGGATTGCAATGTGTCATCTGTATTTCTTGCCAGAAAGCATCCATATCTTTTGTATTGATTGTGTGTGGTTTATATTGATGGTTTGATTTAGAATATTGGCAGTGATCCAAATGTCTTCATTCCCAAAAATTATTACTACAGTGATATCCCTTTCTACAGAATTATACTGATGCTTGAGAATCAAGAAATGCAGATCACTGTCAGTATTCTACATCAATCCATCAATATACGATTAATAATAGTTTCAGTATTTGTTGATATTGACAGTATTATTGACTGTGTAAGATCCAGAATGTACATAAAATTGAGCTGAAATATTGTCAATAATTTTGATTGTGTAAAGTTGTAAAAATATGATTAATGCGTATTGTCAGTATGATTCAATATTATTGATAAGATTTATATTATATTCTCTACACTTGAAACAAGTGTATGATTAAGTATTGAGAAGAAAGAAAGAAAAGCCATATATGAATATAAAAATTTGACTACAAAAGATAAATCTCTTTGGAAATGCCTATGGAAACTTCCATTTAGATTATCAGTGTCCAGAATTTATCTAGCTTTTGCATTATACTGATAATGCGTTTATATGCTTTCAGTAACGATATATTCGGAGGAGCTCTGATAACGCAACCTGGACAGAAAAAAAAACCACCTCCTCGACCACCGCCTCCGAAATTCAATCGCAATTACCTACAGTATCAGAAGGATCAGAAACCGAGAAAGCCAGTAAGTATTGTAACTTATAAATTTATTATATGTTTATAGTTCTTGACAGATTTGCTCCTTCCAATGCAAAATAGTTTAACACGTTCACGATGACGTGACCACCTAAAAGCATGTGAATAACCGTTATCTTACTCTGCTGGGCTACCATTAATGAAACACTTCCTACAAAGGACAATAGCGATTTTTTGTGACCTACAAGTAATTGCAAAAACGT